CTTAATTTGTTCTTGCACTGTATCATATCGTGTATTTCATCTGTATATGTGTAATGTGTATATGTATAAATGACTACACTTATCCCGCATATTCTGCAAAAGACTATAATTAATCACCATATTATTGTCTCTCCATTTACCATGGCTGACTGCACTAATAGCCTTTTAACAGTGGACACCGATTTCAGTATACATGTAGGCTTTTTGTTCAAAAAGGTTAATGCAGGAAATCATATGTAACAATTAACTGTGTACTAATTACATGTTTGAATGTTATCAGATTTGCGTTCTGAGATACAGTGCTGTAAGCATCTTCTACAGTGAGGTGAGGTGAAATTGGGTTTAACGTCGCGTCCAAGATTATTGCACTTATATAGCGACGTGCATGCACGTGTATGTGTGTGTGTGGCTGCTTGTACTAGTCCGGACTGATGCCGATTTATAGTGCTAGCTCACTGAGATACCATGCCGCAGTTTAACATGAATACCCCACTCAGACACAGTATACTGACTCCGAGCCGACCAGTCCTTGTTTTAGCCCCTTAATGCCGAGCGTCAGACAGGGTAACAACAAGTACAATCTTTTAACGTCTTTTTGTATGACGCAGCCCAGGATCGAACCCTGGACCTTCCGCTCTCCGGGCGGACGCTCTACCACAAGACCACGGAGGCGGTCAGCATCTTCTACAATTAACAATACCTGTATATAATAAAATACAACGTCTCACTCCTGTACATACATAAAACAGCTTTGTACAACTTGACATAGATAAAATGTACAGAACCATTCAACAGAATTATGAGAGACGAATTATCACAGAATTTATACATAAATGATATAAAGATGATATAGTAAAAAGTTATCCATATAAAAGATGTTTTCTACGATTAAGAATTAAAAAGCAGACGTTGGCAAGTATAAAACACACACTGGAGTCACTGAAAATTAAACAAAGTTTGTCGATATCAGGTATATCTAAAACATTATAAGATTTAGCAATACATTCATTAAAAAGAGTTGCCCTGATATCATCATATAATACAAAACTCTCTGCCGGAATTTTTCGTGGAAATCATTCGATCAAGTAAAAATGACTGCGTAACAAGACGAATCAACTGTTTATAGCCGATAAAAGAAACTGCCTTATTTTAGGAACAGTGCCATTACAGGACATTTGAAATTTCTAACAAGCAGATACATTATCATACAGCGACTAGACTACATGTACGTCATCCGTATCAATCAAAGGTGTAAAAAAAACTGAAAATCATATTTGTCGGAGACCTACCAAATTACCAAGTTTTATCATTACTATATTTATTACAATGCAAATAATTTAGTGATACATTTTTCAGAGGAGAGGGCATACACACAAGTATATTGTGTGAATGCAGGTTGTACTTTGCATCTCAGTTCTCAGTTTCATACCGGTTGTATATCTGAATTTGTATATGGAACCATGCGTACAGCATGACAATTACTTGTTATTCGTCAGTCTACAACACACATATCACGGTCAAACAATTTTGTGCACCGCTTTTGCAAGTTATGAACCAACATCTGAGTGAGATGGAATATGCTGACCACATGGGCGACCTCCGTCATCTGCAGTAATGACATTAAATCCATTATGATATTAATATGCTATTCATATTCATCAATGTAAAGTTTTGATGAATATGTTATCCTTGTTGAATAAAAAATGAGAAAACAAGACTTGTTTTGTTATATACGGTAACCTGTTAGAATCACAAAGCATGTTTTGACAGCATAGCCGCGTGGGCCACATTATACAATCACGCAACCATAACCATTGCCGCGAGAGCCACATCAATTTGGGCTATCTATTTTCGAAATGTGGCTTTGCCGGCCTGTAACCATGGAACCATGCATACAGCATGACAATTACTTGCTATTCGTCAGTCTACAACAAACATAACACGGTCAAACAATTTTGGGCACCGCTTTTGCAAGTTATTTAGTACAAAAATGTTTTATTAAAATCTATTTCAATTTGTTTTCACCATTTTCCCTCTTCTATGCATGTTTATGTTGCTACATTTTATTGCTCATGTTGCCCAAGTATTATAAAATACTTTAATGTTTCTCTGTCCTAATCTAACGTTATAACATTTCAGGTCATTACCATCATCTAATACATAAGAGATGATACCAAGACATATTTTATTCGGTTTTATGGTTTTATTGGTCTTGAAATCTTATGTCTAGTACATATTTTCACAAACAGGGCTGTTAGCTGATATAAGGAAGGTGACATCCAGTTGAATTCCCAGTTGACGTACTTACTTTTTTAAATCAAATATGAGGACTGTATACGACATACGTTTGTCTCTTAACGACGTTTCTACAATTAATATTTTGAATAAGCCGTTAATATGCCAGTTGTGACAGGGATGATGGTATGGTAGCTGTAGCAGACAGATTGACAGTCCTTGTTACGTGCGTCACTAGGTAATTAGTACGGCATTGACCTCGTTGATTGGTACTATACTTTGAGGATTTCTGTGGCCAGTGGCGGACGTAATTCAAACTCCTTCCACACTGACACCGCATCAAATATATTTGTGCACCGATTACATAACTCTTATGGACAGGGTGGGTTGGTAGTTCACCGGACGACACTGTGTATATTGGGCGGCTCCTTTGATATCTCCTCCAAACATACTTTTGTTGAATGACCCCATTAAACGATGATAAACATCTCGTTGAATATATCAACTAATTCATCTTTCATAAACTTTTTTTTGTCTTTGTAGTTAATATATCCACATATCAACGAAAATATGTAAAACATGTATCCACAAAAAAATATACCTTTTCAGGCTAGGTATTTGCCCACAGCAACACCTGCATAACTGTTTATTCACGCGTGGTGTGGTAGATCGTAATTGACCGAGAGCAGGTATTGTAGAATCACCTGTAAATAAGGCCGACACTGTAATTAGATACAACGTCCTAATGAGAATATGAGAATTATCATAAGAAGGCTGTTGTTTTTTCTGAACTGTTACCATTTTTATAACAAATTAACAATGCATTTAAAAGTTGCTTTAGTGTTATAATATTCACTCAAGTTTTCGTCAATCGCCTGTAAACATAACTCTCATTGGTCAGTTCGACACCGCATATAATTAAATAATTATTTCGAGATGTCGTTAGAATGTGAGATATTCAGCCAGACGTCATGCAATGAAAGACGAATCGGTTTTGGTTTCCATTAAAATACGCGCACGTGTACCTGTATATTGCATACCTAGTGTCACTTAATTTCCCAGTGTGATGAATCAACGAGACATAAAATGGGAAATGAAAAAGAAACTAACTAAACTTTAATGTGTTGGAAAATAACTCCAATGAATTGGTGTACACGCGCATGAATTCGTATGATAAACTGTCAAAACGTTTTGAGAGGTAGTGTAAATAGGCGACATATACATAGTGTAAATATTGAGTTTTTGAACTTTTTTTTTTCATTTTTTCTTCCTTGGTATTTTCCCATGAAAACATCATGTTTATTTTTGTAAATACCTTTGACCGAGACTGGGCAAAGACCGTAGAGTTTCTGGACTTTTGGGTTTCCAGAATTAAAATGGGACGTGTTGGTCACTATGTATTATATCATGCATTATTAGTTAATATATTACATTTGAAAACGAGAAGTTCAAAATATTACGAATAATCTGTAAAATACCATGACATGTATTGCGACTAGCATATGCCAGCAACATTCACATTGATGGTATGAGCTGCTAGACAAGGAGCATAATCACAACTGATGAAATGATCGAATTGTTTGTCCAGCTTACAATGGGAGGACAGCCTAAGATTACGCTGGTAAAGGATTCGAACTCAGGATAAATAGATCCTTCCACGACAAATTGAGGCAAAGTTTTCATATAGAGACATTACATTACTTGGTCTTTTAGGTACATGCATCTAATTCCGATTTCAGCTTTGAAAAGAATTTCCAAGTCAGTCGTTAGGCCTATATGGACGCCATGAAGCCATATACATAGACGTGACGTCACGTGCTTGATACGTCACAATTGTCTGTTTGCACTTTGAGTTACTATACCAAAAGTCTCCTGGCGGTCACACGATAGATTTAATATGTCACACATAATATTTCATGAATAGGAAAGGATGAATATCACTATTGACAAAATGCAAATTCGATTTTGCGCAGTTTGTTTTGAAAGTGTAGTTATCTTGACGATGCACATTTTGTGTTCCCTGTGTTACATTCACACAAAGCAGGTTGTGTGCAGAGGTCGCCTGTCCTCGTACCTCCTTAAACTGAGTCTTTGATGCATAAAGATCGATCGTATTGTGTTTTCGTTTGTACGTGATATTATTTGTCAAAATGTGATGAACTCCATTATGCACAATCTAACAACTACGAACATGACAAGATTGTCTGATCAAGACTCAGTTGCATACATGCCGCCGTGGCATGGCAGGAGAACTCATCACTATCCTTATCTTGATTCTTACCAACAACGTCGTCACCATCCTTATCTGGACTCTCACCAACAATGTCAACACTAACCTTATCTTGATTCTTATCAACAACGTCATCACCATCCTTATCTGAGCTCTTGCCAACAATGTCATCACCATCTTTATCTTGTCTCTTGCCAACAACGTCATCGCTAACCTTATCTGGACTCTTGCCAACAACGTCATCACCATCCTTATCTGGATTCTCACCAACAATGTCATCACTAACTTTATCTTGATTCTTATCAACAACGGCATCACCATCCTAATCTTGATTCTTACCAAAAGCTTCACCACCATCCTTATCTGGACTCTCACCAACAATGTCATCATTATCCTTATCTGTATTCTTACCAACAGCGTCATGAATATCCTTATCTTGATTCGCATAAACAGCGCCTTCACTTTCCTTTTCTGAACTCTTGCCAACAGCGTCATCACTAAACTTATATGGACTCTCACCAACAATGTCATCACTTTACTTGTCTTGATTCTTCCCAACAGCGCCATCTCCATCCTTATCTCGACTCTTACCAACAACGTCATCTCCATCTTTATCTGGAATCTTCCCAAACAGCGTCATCACCATCCTGATATGGACTCTTGCCAACAACGTAATCACTTTCCTTATCTGGACTTATCTTTCCTTATCTGCCATCAACATCATTGCCATCCTTCTATGGATTCTCACCAACAATGTAACTACTATCCTTATCTACATTCTCGCAAACAACGGCATCACCATCCTTATCTGGACACTTACCAAAAACGCCATCTCCATCCACATCTACACTCTCACCAGCATCGTCATCACTATCCTTATCTACACTCTAATTAACAACGTCATCACTATACATATCTACACTCTCCCCAACATAGTCCTCACTATACATATCTACACTTAAATTAACAGCGCCATCACTATCCTTATCTACATTCTCACTAACAATGGCATCACCATCTTAATCTGGACACTTACCACCAACGTCATCTCCATCAACATCTACACTCTCACCAACAACGCCATCTCCATCCCTATCTACACTACTCTCTCACCAATAACGTCACCATTACCCTTATCTGGACACTTACCAACAACGTCATCACCATACATATCTACACTCTAATTAACAGCGTCACCACTATCCTTATCTACACTCTCACTAACAACGTCATCACTATACTTATCTACACTCTCACTAACAACGTCATCACTAAACATATCTACACTCTTATTAACAACGTTATTACTATCCTTATCTACACTCTCACTAACAACGTCATCTCCATCCCTATCTACACTATACTCTCACCAATAATGTCACCACTATCCTTATCTACTCTCTCACCAACAACGTCACCATTACCCTTATCTGGACACTTACCAACAACGTCATCACTATACATATCTACACTCTAATTAAGAGCGTCACCACTATCCTTATCTACGCTCCACTAACAACGTCATCTCCATCCCTATCTACACTAAACTCTCACCAATAATGTCACCACTATCCTTATCTACTCTCTCACCAACAACGTCACCATTACCCTTATCTGGACACATACCAACAACGTCATCACTATACATATCTACACTCTAATTAACAGCGTCATCTCTATCCCTATCTACACTACACTCTCAGCAATAATGCCACCTCTATCCTTATCCACACTCTAATTAACAACGTCATCACTAAACATATCTACACTCTCACTAACAACGTCATCACTATACATATCTACACTCTCACTAACAACGTCATCACTATACATATCTACACTCTAATTAACAGCCCGCCGTGATATTATCTCACTAAAAACCTTATCTCCATCCCTATCTACACTACACTCTCCATCCACATCTGAACTTTCACCAATTATGTCAACATTATCCTTATCTACACTCTCAACAACAACGTCATCGCTATCCTTATTTGGACTCTCTCCAACAACGTCATCAGTATCCTTATCTACACTCTAATTAAAAACGTCATTACTCCACATATCTACACTCTAATTACCAACATCATCACTATACATATCTACACTCTCACTAACAACGTCATCACTATACATATCTACACTACACTCTCACCAATAATGTCACCACTTTCCTTATCTACCGGTAGACTCTCACCAGCAACGTCATCAATATACATATCTACACTCTAATTAACAGCGTCATCACTATCCTTATCTACACTCTCACTAACACCGTCATCACTATACATATCTACACTACACTCTCACCAATATTGTCACCACTACCTTATCTACACTCTCTCTAACAACGTCATTAATATATTTATCTACAATCATAACTATAAAGTCATCTCCATATATTCCTATCTATACTCGTACAAACAACGTCGTCGTCACCTCCATCCATATAAACATTCCCACAAACATCGCCTTCGACATCGATATTCCTACCTAAACTCTCACAAACTATCTCCATCTATATCTACACACCCACAACAAAACCAGCACCATACCGTTCTGCATTAGCGAAAAACAGAGTTGGTAACGCTAAAGCACTAAAGAATATATGCTCGTAAAGTTAGAATGTTGTAAGTCTTCGTGTACATGTATGTAAGGTAAATACGGTAGGAAAGTGAAATTCACAAAGTAAAAATGAACCTCTGAGCACCCTGCCTCCAGCAAACCATTGCCATCAACATCATCACTTTCCTTATCTGGACTCTTCACAACAACGTCATCACTTTCCTTATCTGGCCTCTTGCCATCAACATCATGGCCATCCTTATCTTGATTCTTCCCAACAACGTCATCACCATCCTTATCTGGACTCTTGCCAACAACATCATCATTTCCTTATCTTGATTCTTCCCAACAACGTCATCATCATCCTTATCTGGACTCTTCCCAACAACGTCATCACTTTCCTTATCTGACCTCTTGCCAACAACATCATCACTTTCCTTATCTTGATTCTTCCCAACAACGTCATCACTTTCCTTATCTGACCTCTTGCCATCAACATCATCACTTTCCTTATCTTAATTCTTGCCAACAACATCATCACTTTCCTTATCTTGATTCCTCCCAACAACGTCATCACCATCCTTATCTGGATTCTTCCCAACAACGTCATCACTTTCCTTATATGGACTCTTGCGATTAGCATCATCACCCATATCTAGAACCTTCCCAACAACGTCATACATATCCGTACATCTTGAAAGTTACCAAAATGCGTCAGCGTTAGCCAGACTTGTAACACGACATAAGAAATAGTGCTTCGCTATAGCGCAATGTTTTGTTTTGAATGGTGCGTCTGTAACGGTATTAACTGCGCCGCTACCAATGTCGTGTAGAAAACACTCGAGCAGACTATGGTGGTGTGAACCTCACTGAAATCGATGCCGACCCTCAACAACTTATCCATTTTATATATAACCAGTATCATGATCCAATCCCGAACTATTTAATTTGTTCCAAGTGTTTCACTTGGTGCAGTACTGCCAGATGAACACGATATCAATGTGCAGGCGAATTCATATAAGATCAAATCTTTTCGTCATTGTTCATTGTTCCATACTGGTCTATACATCATCCAATAGACATGTACACATGAAGATGGAATCCTGTCTCTTCTGCATGGAAACCTGTCGCGATCTTGCCCTTACAAAAACAAGCAAAAAGTATCAAAAAGTAGCGCTAAAATTAACAAAAGCGCGACAATGCGACACATTTCGACCTTATACAATGTCACATTGACGCCCTTTGATAAAACTACCAAATATACAAAGTTCAATTGCGCGACAACGTGACAATGAGCAAAATGTCACGTTGTCGCATTTTCGCACTGTCGCGCTTTGGTTGATTTTGACACTTTTTACCTCTTTTTGTAAGGGCGACAACGCGACAATGTCCTCCTTCTATACCACTGTGATTTAAACATTGTCAAAAACAACACTGGCAAAGTTATATAGGTTTTTTCTGTTTTATTGTTTAAAAATGAAATAAAAGAAAAAAACATGGAAAAAATATGTGATGTGTCATCAATACATGACCAGGTAAAGTGGATGTGTTATTGCTTGTGGGACAGCGGACAGGGTTGCCTTTCAGGGATGCTGGCATCTTCTAGTGGCATGTCAGCTGCAAACGTCCAACAAACAGCCGGGGAAAAAGTTTCCGAGCCATCAGCGCTGCTCAGTAATAACCCCCTCGTCTTCCTCGTCCTATTAATAAATGAAAATAATAATTACGAATACGGCAATATAGTATAAATAGTGTTGCATTTAAGTGAAAAATATTGATATAAGAAGACTGTGAAACTTATGGCAGCACACGTATGGTACATAACCAAGTATGGACGATCCTTCATGGTCTTGGTACATTTTTCAGTTTAGGCCCAGACGTCCATAAGTGAAAATGCGAAGTGAAAGTAGAGTCATTTTGGCTGCTACATTGATATAGCGACCAGAGTCGTACACAGCAATGATCATGACTATCAAGAGTGAACATCTAAACATTACCAAAGAATACCGTTACTTCTTTGAACAAATATTGGGATTGTTGATACTTCTCAGGTCGGGTATAAACCAAAAAAACATAGTCAGGGACCAAAACCTGCAAATTGAATTGCAATGTCTTTAAGTTGGAAGTTTTTTGCTTCAGCTAAACAAAAGATACAGGTGAATGTGTGCATACCATAGTCGCCGAAATCAGGGGAGTCACGGCCGTAGTCTCCATAATTATCGTTGTCATAGCCACCATATCGTCCTCGGCCTCCCATTCGGCCGTATCCGTTGTCGTAGCCGTCATATCCGTCATAACCGCCGTAGCCACCGCCGCCACCGCGTAATCTACCCATGCCACGACGCCCAATCCCGCGGTGCAACATGGGACTGGGGAAACCCATGAAGGCATCACATGTAGTCAAGGCAATCAGACAAAGGGCGACAATCACTGTTGATTGCATGGTTGGTAATATTTGATCTGAAAAGAAGGTCACCGATAATGATGAGTATGTGACTCCAAAATGAATGTGAAGGACGAGGTTTGTATGTTCTTTAGCGCCGCACTCATCAATATTTTCAGCTACATGACAGCGATCTGTAAATAATCGAGTCTGGACCAGACAATCCAGTGATTAACACCATGGGCATCGATCTACACAATGGGGATACAATGACATGCATCAACCAAGTCGGCAAATCTGACAGCCCGATCCCGTTAGTCGCTTCTTAGGACAAGCATAGTCGCCTCTTACGACAAGCATGGGTTGCTGAAGACCTATTCTAACCATTATAAACGTTATCTAAACCTCACTAGGCTAAACACAGACAGCGAAGCACTGCAAACTGAAGGCCCAAAACACAACTAAGATATACGTACAAAATACATCCCCATTGAATATCCATTTCTTGTTTGTTTCCTATGTTAAATCATAGTCAAAGGGAGGTATATACGACGGACGAGCGATGTCAAAACATTACAGAGTCAAAACGAAATGGCCGTAGAATGTTGATTAAATAGTTCAGTCCACTTTAAGGATAAACCGCATACGTGTCATCGTTCAGATCAACAGAGACGGAGGCTCTAAGAACCAAGACTATACTTGTAGACTGGTCTTAATACAGAAGAAAAAACTCAATTAAGGATTCGTACAAACATTATTTTCCGTTATTTTCATTGAATAAGGATTCCTGTAAGACCATTAGTTTTTAAATTGTTTCACTTTACCAAATACCATTACGGATATTCTTCTATACACGTAAATTGTAAGCTCTATTGTTCTCGATTCGTAACATGTCCAGCTCCTTGTCTAAAGTTTTTCTTCATCACTTCAAAACTCTGGTTTAGAAATACTTGCAAATAGACATGCCAGTTGACTTAGTCTATCTCACATCAAGCTGATTCTGCCTACCTTCAGATGTGTGTCTTCAACGATGGAACACCAAAGATATGATAGCATTGACAATTTTCGATTATATTTATACCAAAGTCTTGAACATGAATAGTGTACATCGTTGTCGTCACAGGTGTCAATGATTGAAGAAGCAATAACTCTTGGAGTGACAGTGCACTGTGTGTGTGTGAGGCAAACCATTGTCCCGTCATCGTGGCTGATTGATGATGGTCAACTTCCGTCATTGCCCCCCGGCCTCCAGTCAATGACGACCTATTGTGTGACATCACATCTTACATGGAAGTCACGATTTATATGTTGCTTTGGTAAGTGTGCTGGTCGCGACGTCATGTATATCATGTGCTATTATATCAAGACAGTTTCGTATGAAACAGTTTTCTCTTCCATATCCAGATGTGTCGAGTCACGGCACCTGTGACGATGAAGGTTAAAGCGCTAAGAAATATCATTTTGAAACTTGATGAATTCACTTTTCTCTAAGCGAATACTTTGATTTAGTCTAAGATTATTTGAGCACGCTGTGATTTGTGTGTGAAATCAAGCTATATGATATTAAAGCACAGCGGCAACCGCGAAGTTCTCAAGTATAGTCGTGTCCGTTTGAATGTTTGATTTTAGAAAATGCTAGGTTAAACTGTATTGTGGACTATCGCCAGTGCCAGTTACGAGTTCACGTCTCTGCTTACGTTATTGCGCCCCGCGCTCAATACCCATTCAACAAATTGGCACTTAAATACAGGTATACGATGAAATGACAATATATTGTGCGTGTTTCCTCAACGAACAATTCAGCTGCGAGAAACTGATTATCCACATAATACACGTGTGTATCTTCTTGTCAAATATCATGTTCATATATGTCATCGAGTGCCCTGCCAGAGTTCCAATATTCATGAGTGTCGCATCCAGGCATCCTTACTCTCTGGTCAATGGATCAATGTTGTTATATTCAAGGCCTCCGCAAAGCTTTCAAAAGTTTAATGGTAAACATGTCGAGGATAATGTGACCAAACTGATGTCGGATGCAATTCATAATAATGCTGATGGTGTGAATGTCTTAAATATTATTACTGAGTTAATAGCTTCATAATCTAAAATGTTCATATCAAGCATCTACATTTTATCAATAGGGTGCAGTGCTGGTAAAGCAAATGTGAAAAGGTGAAATTAGATATTTGGTTTTATGTGTAATGTCCATTGAGATCTGTTGATAGCTTCAGTAAAATTCAGTTCAGTTTAGTTCCAACTGAACAGATTGGTTTGTGAAGAATATTTTTAAAGTTGCTCTACTCCTCTGTTTTCGATGGGCATTCTTTCAATACAGGATTGCACGTTTCATCATAACTCTAAACATCACTCAGTGTACAAGCAAAGTGGCAAAACCTGCGTCATTTGGGGCATTCGTCATCCATTACACTGACGCCATGTAGATGTTATACCACAAAGCGGCTTAATGCCAACTCACGTACCTTCATGCAAGATTGTCTTTCGTGGTCACTTGGAAATTGCATGTCATCCTGCCTCATGCCTGTATATATATATATATATATATATATATATATATATATATATATATATATATATATATATATACACACACACACACACAAATGAGGTAAATGTTCACTCGGTGTAAATGTAATATATAATAAAATAATAAAGTCCACGTTAGTCCATCACATCATCTTCTTTATATGAGTTTCATACATAGTACTTTCGCTGTCTCATGACAGCTCTTCAGTGTAACATATACAAATACAGTGATATATATATATATATATATATATATATATATATAGGCATGATATATATATATATATATATATATATATATATATATATATATATATATATATATATATATATATATATATATATGCTTGCCAGCCATACTCTGCACATCACTTGCTTGATAACGGTGTTAGAACCTACACCAAAACGCCGCTCCTAATTGTAATAAAGTGAGTGAGTGAGTGAGTTGTGTTTAACGCCGCTTTTAACAGTATTCCAGTTATATCACGGCGTGTCAGCTTATTGTGGGAGGAAAGCCCGAAGTAATGCAGTAATGCAGGTCTCAGACGTTTACCACTTCGGTGAAACCCACGAGCACGGGTATGGTGCTGACAAACCTAGAAACATAATCGGGGCGAACCGGGACTCGAACCCACAATCATAGGTTTCTGGCTTGCCCAAGGGACGCAACTCTGCACAGCGAATCGCGGCGCATTAGACGACTGGGCCACCCGTGCCCCCAATTGTAATAAAGACGTAGTTCATCTATATATCTTCTCCTAACTTACCCGTCGTTTGTATCAGTGGTCGAATTATATACAAACATGACTTAACGAAAAAGTGGCATTATGCATTATCGTCTTTAATCCTTAAGACACTCCACATTGGCACATGGTATAGTGACAGGAAATACAGTCTAACACCGCTGCGTTGAACTCTGATGTGTCGAATTCTTTGTTGTGTCGAAATTATTGTCTGGTCATGGTTCTTATTTCACCCCTGATATATCAATTTTGAAGCGTTGAAGAGTCGGTTGTCTCGAACTACTTTGTAGTCCTAATTGACAAATACAAAATTGTCCTTATATGTCATGGTTAGTGATGCACGTAAGGAAGATTTCTAAAAGAATATTTATGTTGAATGTCAACAGCGGACCACGTAAGCCAGTAAGAAAGCAAACTGTTAAAAAACCGGGTGACATCCCTTTGATCCTAACGAATGAGTGAGTGAGTGAGTATGGTTTGACGCCGCTTTTAGCAATATTCCAGCAATATCACGTCGGGGGACACAAGAAATGGGCTTCACACATCCTAACGAATGATATAACACAAGGTAAACACAAGAAAATCTGTTTCTGTAAACTATTTAAGTTATTAGTTAGGCGTAGAACTACAGTAAAATACGTTTATAACGAACACGCTTATAACGAGCTGACGGATATTTCGAACTTAATATTTGGTCCCGGCCATTTGCTGTATGGATGTTGTATATATGCTTATAACGAACTACGGTTATAACGAACAAAAATTAATGGTCCATTGGAGTTCGTTATAACCGTAGTTTACTGTATATAATCAGTAATACAAAGGATTTTCCTTTGTGCATGCCTTACAATGTGTAGTTACGCGTTTCTTTCTTCTTTTCTCCTGTCCAAATAATGACAAATAAAGAAGGACGCGTTCCGGGCCCAACAAAGTATCTACTGATTATTCTTCTTATCTGTTTGTTTTTCTTCTAGTTCAAAGAGATTCGACTGTATGAATAAGTTACTTTTAAAAGTAAAACATACGAAAATAGCACGCAAAGTAATTAAATATGTGTGAAAAGAAATATATGTTCTGTCGTTCCAGAAAGAATGCATGAAATTTATTTCAGTAGGAACAAAAATACAAAATCCAGCAAAGTTCGTCTTGCACAGTATATGGTTTACACTCACTGTGCCGACAGCATGGGGTTGTTGTTGTGGTGGTCGGGAATTATCGGACAGTGTTGGTAAGCATGTTTAGGGGTGGTGTGAAAGGTATTAACGTGCAGGTATGGTGTACATATTATAAAAATCAGTGATTTTCTTATTTGATTTGTATGTGCCGTTTGTGAATACATTCGGTATCAAACACAACAACGACTTTCTCCACCGTAAGAAATTAATATGTATCTATGTCTTGAGATGACCCCCGTCGGTTACTATTGTTTAAGGATTAAGCATACCTGTCTCCACCAGTAGTCCAGAACAACAGGTGCCGACACAGTGGGGAGACTCCCATTATATTGATCAATCGTTGACATGAGCTGAGTGATTGCTGTCCCGATGGATAGCGGCATGGACACCTTGGGATAAAATGTAGTCTTTTACCATAGTACTATATACCTAGTACCTAAAAAGCTATTCCACTTGCTGCAATTTCACATCTTGCCAAACAGTTACACATAATACAATGTCAGGTATTGCGATATTGCAATACATAGTTGTGATTCTGTCAGGGAATAAGTAGGAGAGGTACATTCAACTGTCACCATTGTTGTTGTGACAACTGGGACACGCGATAAATGCCCCAGGGTCATGTGGAATGGGTCGTGAATGTCTCTATTTGTATCATTATTTGAAGTACTTCCCAACTGACTCACTTGATGCGTATAAAATGAATCCCATGTGACGGGAATCATTGGCTGCCGGTTGCGAGTAGGTCTGTCCACATTAATGTCATTGCTGTCATGTGATTTGTGTTTGGTAGGATTTCAGTTTGAAGGCTGTCGTTCTTGCAGTGCGAGTGTTAATTTGTGTGGATGTTGTGTAATAGATGCTTGTGTAGATGCTTGTGTGGATTCTGGTGTGAATGATGGCGTGGTTGGTGGTGTGGATTCTGGTATGGCTGCGGAAGGCGATGTTGGTGTAGATTCTGGTGTGAATGATGGCGTGGTTGGTGGTGTGGATTCTGGTATGGCTGCGGATGTGGATGTTGGTGTAGATTCTGGTGTGAATGATGGCGTGGTTGGTGGTGTGGATTCTGGTATGGCTGCGGAAGGCGATGTTGGTGTAGATTCTGGTGTGAATGATGGCGTGGTTGGTGGTGTGGATTCTGGTATGGCTGCGGATGTGGATGTTGGTGTAGATTCTGGTGTGAACGCTGGTGTGGATGGTGGTATGGATGGTGGTGAGAATGGTTTGTTTGTTGTTTAACGCCGCACTCAGCAATATTCCAGCCATATGTCGGCGGTCTGTAAATAATCGTATCTGGACCAGACCTATCCAGTGATTGACATCATGAACATCGATCCACGCAGTTGGGATCGATGACATGCATCAACCAAGTCAGCGGGCCTCACCCGATCCCGTTAGTCGCCTTTTACGACAAGTACATGTATAGTCGCCTTTAACGGCAAGCATGGGTTGCTGAAGACCTATTCTACCCCGGATCTTCACGGGTCAATCCTAAAAGGCGACCGACCGAACCCTGCATCGATCTAGGCAATTGGGATACAGACAGACAGTTTATTCAGCATGCAAGGCCATAGTACAGTTCGGTTTTAACAGATACATTAACATCAACGTGATCTTGAAAATAGCATATTATATTCACCTGAGTCTAAATACATTGCTAAAGATTTGATAACACCTTCATTGGTCCATTTCAACAAATTGATCATTAACTAATTGTCTTTTTATGTGTCATTTATAGATTAGGTAGAAACTTTAATCTCGACGTTTTATATTTTTCACATATAAAAGGAACATGAAACTCGTCTTCAATCTCCTGGTTGGTACAGTTGGTACATATACAAATTACAAAATCACTATCTTTGGTTCTACGATATTTATTGACAAGGAAGTTATGGAGAGATATTCTAAATATACAAAGAGCTCTCAATAGAGCTTTATCTTGTAATATACTTAAATAATTTTCTTGTTGTAACAATGATTTGATACTAGTATAATGCTTGAGAAAGTGTGAAGAGGAAACTTGTTGGTGCCAGTTTTGCTGAAATATATCTAATAATCTTTGTTTAAATGTATGTAAAAATAGTTTTTCATTACCAGTGTCTTGTAAGATCCATACAAAGGAAAATCCAGTATCAATTAATATGCTTCTTACACAAGACACCCAATTCGTTTTCCCTTCACCATCGAATTGCTTCAGCATTTTGTAACATTGAAATGGGTACCTGTGAGCATCCATATTTAATAATTTTATCCAGTATTTAACAACACGCAGCTGTCTGTGAACATATAAACTATAGCGGCCAGTTTCACCAATTACTGCATTATTTGAAGCATATTTACCAATGCATAAAAATTGCTTAAAATACAAAGTGTGAACTTTCTCAATGGATTCAAAATATTTAATGCCCCATGTTTCCGAGCCGTATAACAAAATGGGTAGATTTTTACCATCAAACATCGAATTTGCTGTGAAAAATGAGATATATTTATTTTCCTTGAACAACTTATTAACAGGAAACATTGCCTCAGATACCTGAAGCGCTAAGGTCTTACAAGCCTTTGACCAATTTAGCCTTGAGGACATTAATAGTCCTAAATACTTATGATAACTTGCAATTTTTAAATGATTATAACCATATATCCAGTTTTCATGCTTCGATACAATTCCACCGTTTCTAAAAACAATAACATTGGTTTTCTCAAGGTTTACTTCTGAACTCCACTTAATACAAAGGACTGCAATGCATTAAGCTGTTTCTGCAAGCCTACCACACAGTAGGACACCAGAGCAACATCATCCGCGAACAGCAATAGTAGATCATCAATAATGCCTTGTGTCACAGACAAACCATGATGACATTCTTTGTAAATTTCAGAAAGAAGTTCGTTTATAAAAAAAAAAAGATGAATAAGACTGGGCTTAAGATGCAACCTTGACGAACACCACTGGAAGTAGTAAAACAAGGAGTTGTACCCGAGAAAGTTTTAATACATGTTTTGATTCAGGAATACGTATTCTTAAGAACTATTGACAGTTTTCCACGACATCCTTTAGTGATCAATAAGTACAGCAGTTCTTTTGCTATCAACGTGATCAAAAGCATTGCGGGAAATCAACAAAGGCGCAATAAAAACGACCTCTAGGTTTACATAAATATGTTGAGCAAAGTGACTGTAGAACAAAGAATTGTCAACTCAGAGCGAAATCCTGCTTGAGCTTCAGATATCATTTCATTTACTACAAGCGAAATTCTAAGTCGTTTTTCAACAATAAATGCAAAACTTTCTCATGACAATCAAAACAGATATACCTCTGTAATTGTTTGGTTGACTGACATTTCCTGATTTGTATGAAGACATTACCATTCACATAGCCCATGCATAGGGGAAAATACCTGTATCAAGGATTTTATTGAATAATAGCAACAAATATGGTATTAGAAAATCTCCTGATATTTTGTAAAATGCTGGTGGGACTCCGTCAACGCCTGACGCTTTACCATTTCTAAGGCTTTTTAATGCTTCCCTCACTTCTTGTTGTTTGATTTCACCAGATAACAATTCTTCCGTGAATGGAAGATCAGTTCATTCATCACACATATGCGTATCTTGAAAATCAGATATATTTAGATCAAATTCTGTTTTGGCCGTCATGCACATCGGATCCCATAAATTCTGAAAATAGGAAAGCCATATACTAGGAGTTATAGAACTGTCTGGTTATTTTATACGTAACGGCTTCTTATGTATTTTCCAAAACGTTTTACAATCTCCATAATGCGCTGCTAACTTAATTTCTTCACTCAATTTTATGTCATACAGTTTCTTCTTACGTTCACAAATCTTTTTAAATTTTGCTTTTGCACTTATATGTCTGTGCAGGTTCAAATCATACTTATGATTTCTGAACTTGTTGAGATATAAATACTTTCTAGATTTCATATTCTGACACTCGCTATCAAACCAGGCTTGCTGATATACACGACATTTACTGGACCAAGAACAAACAGCGCCAGCACTCGTAGCTCAACATATCACAATGCCAGTGAGCTTAGTAACTGCTGCGTTGAGGTTATCCTTCAAAATGACTGCAAACTCATTAAACATTTCTCCACTCAACGTTTTACCGAGATGGAGGTGGTAGGAAACAACTTGCTCAGGAGGAAGTTTATATTTTGGTACTGGGGTTAATGAGGCAGATGCAGTGTGGGCATTATTATTTTGTTGAAAAGAAAAAAGGTGTAAGATTTGTCAAGTGACAGACAATAGGCAAGTGATCTAAGTCCGTTCTTTCAACCACTGACATATTTGTACAAGATTCAAATAAACTCAATGAAACAATAATAATAATCTACAGTACTACTTCTTGTGTGCGAAATGAAAGTAAGATTACCTGGACTATCTGAGTTTGTGCTATCATTAACGATGTGAACCCAAGTAACTTACACAATTCAAGTAAGGCTCTACCATAGTTATATTTATGTGCAAAACAGTGACACATCGTTGTTGACAAAATTCATCTGAAGTGTATTCTTTATCAATAGGTAGATAATCTATCTCATTATCTATCAAATAATCTAATTCCTTACCAGTCCTTGCATTAAAATTTCCACATAAGATGAATTGGGATAAGATGACATGCATCAACCAAGTCAGCCAGACTGACCGCCCGATCCCGTTAGTCGCCTCTTACGACAAGCATGGGTTGCTGAAGATCAATTCTAACCCGGAATCTTCAAGGGACGGCGTGGATGTTGGTGTGGATGTTGGTGTGGGTTGTGGTGTGGATGGTGGTGTGTATGATGGTGTGAATGCTGGGTGTGATGCTGGTGAATATCACGGCGGGGGACAACTGAAATGTTTTTCACACATTGTACCCATGTGGGTACGAACCCGGATCCCTGAGGTGACTAGCGAAAGCTTTAACCAATGGGCTATTGAACATGCTGGTCGTCATGAAATGAAGGAATACGGGTAGCCCAGTCCTCTAAGGTGCCTCAATTCAATAGCGCGAGTTGCGTCCGAAACCTATAGCCGTGTTCGTGTGTTACGTCCTGTGTGTCGTCCCGTGTGTCGTCCCATCACTTCGAGCTGACATGCCGTCAAATAACTGAAATACAGTTCATTCATTCACTATTGCAGTGAAAATAAAATAAAACAGTGACGTCGTTGTGTAATTCATGATTTATTTGTTTCAGTTCCATTTCAATACAAAAACTTGCTATTTCACAATTAAAATCGTTGTCGTTACGGTAAGACGAAAAGGTCATCATTGTCCATGCCTACCCGTGCGTCAAACACGAATGTTCCTCGGCGATAATGACCTGTTAAATAAAAAGGAAAGCGTTAAAGGAAAAATATATCCTTTCAAGTCTAACATGATAACATCAAGGCACTACACAGAAAAGTAATAACTTCATTATCGTTGTGTTTGGTCTTAGAACACAAACAGGTAAGATGGAAGGGTCGTTCGTTGAAGCATATGGGCATATGAAGACTAATTTTGGTTACGTTGGAATATATATTTCAGCTAAGCTGACTCACCTGATTTGAAGGTTTGCGCCTTGCACCTGATTGCGCCTTGTTTATTTAACTACATGTACCCAATCGAATATTAACTTTATTGAATATTGAATTTGCTGATGACACACTTGAACATAATTTATTAAAGTTTTGTTCCATTTACATGTATTTAACGTCTATCAAATGCAATTAATTGAAAGCTTATTCATTTATTTCATTGAATATTTCAAATAATTTTACAGAATAGATACCTAGCCATCGACTGGCATAATATAAACATGTATATCGAGACGCAACATCGTGGACGACCTATATGTGTAGCAGAACAGAGTATATTCATGTTTTGATAGAACCCGTGAAGATCCGGGGTACAATAGGTCTTCAGCAACCCATGCTTGATGTAAAAGGCGACTATGCTTGTCGTAAGAGGGGACTAACGGGATCGGGTGGTCAGGCTCGCTGACTTGGTTGAAGCATGTCATCGTATCCCAATTGCGTGGATCGATGCTCATGATGTCAGTTACTGAATTGTCTGGTTCAGATTCGATTATATACAGACCGCCGTCAAAAAGCTGGAATATTGCTGGAACCGACGTTAAACAAACAACCAAACATGTTTTGATAGAGCCTGCTGAAGCAGCTTCTAAACTATTTGACGTAGAAATGGTTTTCAGAGCACTCCAAATATCTTACCGTTGTCAGACTTCATCCTAATATCCGCGACCTCTTCCAAAGCGGTTGAACACACCTCCGACGCCTGATCCTATACCGGGTCCGACTCCAAATGATCTTGAGTTGAATCCGTTTTGGTACCCGTTAAGATTACCCAAACCGGTGTAACCATTGTGACCATTGTAACCAATGTTGCTGTTTCCGAGCCCATGTCCATGATGGCTGTTGCCAGTATACAGATGAGGCACCCGCTGGGTGATGGTATGCGTTGTGTCACCATATTGAAGGTGTCGCGTATCATAATCATAGTGGTTAACACCGCGTCCGTATGTGACACGGGCCTGGCGGCCGACGCCGTGACCATGTCCTCGCCTAGCATTGTACACTTGGCATGCTGCTCCGGCAACCAGAAACGCTAGAGCAAAGGCGACAGTCTTCATATTTGTATCTGTAAGAAAGAGGGACTTCCAGTAAAAAAATCAGAAGGAATAATTTCATCCACCGGGAAAGATGAATTTACAAACCATACTTACCGCAGGACGGAGAGCTACGAAGAGTACGTCAAAGACAATACAAACCTCATTTTCAATATGATGATAAATATATATATTTATCGAACATAAGGTTGTTATTATTTTGGACGTACTCTCCATAGTTCTATACTATTTATGAATGCGAGTGTGTGAGTGAGTATGGATTTACGCCGCCTTTAGCAATATTCCAGCAATATCACGGCGGGGACACAAGAAATGGGCTTCACACTTTGTGAGTGGGCAAGGGAGCGTGACTTCAGAACGCAAATAACCACTAGGCTACCCCACCGCCCAAGTCCTATAATCATGGTCAAAATACATATCTATATATGAATATGTATCCAGAAGTCTATAAGATGAATATGTATAAATGTACACATGCTCAGTTGTGACTTTTACATAAACACAATAGTTTTTGTATGATAATTGTTTATTTATAGACATAAGGTTAACATATTAAAGCATGACAACATAAAAGTCTAGCATTAACCAAATCTTCTGACATATCAACTATACGAAATGTTGAAAACATTTAACCAACTTGCATGTTCTATCTGTTATAAAGTATAAAGATAAGTTAGTTTAAAATACAATTTTGATATATTAAACTATATCTAATTTCTATCCACAGAAACTGCCTGATCAAAGCATGCATGCCAAGCCATACTCACACGTGGTATCTTTGCAATCAAATGATCAACTGAAATCTTCGTGATGCAGATGTTATTTATGCGTAAAATTTCTTTGCATCTACGTGGGTGAGACGTCATTAGTAACATCAAAATCACCGCCGGCGGAGTTGATGTGACAATTATAAGACAGGATAATAGTAACAGAGTGCCCAATGTTTAACGGGTGACCTTTTAGGCTGGCTGATCAGTCACTATATCACTGATGACTTCCTTCCGCCTACAGTTCAGACAGGTTGGCGGGTGTAACAACGATATGTCAGTACTAAACGTCAGGAGAAACGTCATCGTTATGTGAAAAAGGGGATAAAGTGATAGCCAATGATTTTGTATCAATAGGAAATTTCTTCTCGCTGAGTGATTTTAAGTTACTGTACTTTCTAATCAAAATCGGCACAATTTTTAAATATTCTATCAATTTTCATTTTTGCGATCCCTTTGGATTTTAATAATGTTTTTTCTGTTCTGTGGTGCTGCGATAAAATTTATTATTGAAAAGTAAGTACCATGGTAATGTTAAGTGTGTTGTGCAATGCAGTGTCGTGCTATGTTGTGCTTAGTACATGTTATGTTTGTGTGGAATAAAAACTGCTCTCTTATTCTGTTTATAAATAGCAAGTATAACCCATTTTTCCAACATTTAATTGTAAATAAACAACAGTTATAAAATACCGATCACGTACGTGTTTACACAATCGAGTTGTACATGTGTCAAAGGTGCTTATTTTGTAGGTTTTAAGAAGGCGTGTGCCAAGTGAGACCGTCTCATCCGTTTCCTTTTTTGGTGTAAGCATAAAGATTTAGGATGACCCCTTCCACAAAACTGTATGACAAGAGGGATGAGTTAAACTTTCCAATAGTCAACTTCATGTAGAGCAATATTCCAGCAGCTCCAGCCTTTGGTGTTTACATTTCACAACTTTTGAGATACAATTGAGCATGCTCTTTCTACCAAGATTTCAAAGAGCGTCATACGACTCTTGCTCAGAAGTTGTTTGATCAAGGTTACAACATTCACGTCATCAGTAAAGCTTTCAAAACGTTTTAAGGCAGACATTTCCAAATCTGACGCTTCAGCGACAGAAATAATGTCTGATGCCATTCCCTATTTTGACTTGTACCATATGGTCCCATGTTTTTTCAGGCGAAGAAGAGGGCGTCGGATGTAGACCTATTCCCGCTGCTCTCTGATTCAAATCGTGTGGCGATGTGGATGACGAAAGTTCACAAAGTTTGTCTAAAGGTCAGTTATATGACAGAGAAGTGCTTGATAATTCGTTGCAAACTTTTGACACACACCTTTATGAAAAAACTAACAATGTTGGGATTCGTCTCTCTGGTGACGGGGCAGTCATTAGTGGTGAGGGTGAATATGTTGTCAAACCGGAGTTCCACAACCAGAGAGGACATTCAGAACGTATTGATTATCTCATGTCAGACCTGTCCTCTGTTCCAAAAGAAGACTTTGTGTCAAAACTGGTAGAAAGTGTAAACAATGGCACCATTGAGTTAGATGCTCTACGCCATGTCGTACTGAATATGTGTAAACAGCATGAAAATTTCCCTCACCCCACAGGCTCCTTAACCTCACCCCACAGGCTCCTTAACCTCACGTCACAGGCTCCTTAACCTCACCCACAGGCTCCTTAACCTCACTCCTCAGGCTCCTTAACCTCACCCCACAGGCTCCTCAACCTCACTCCTCAGGCTCCTTAATCTCACCCCTCAGGCTCCTTAATCTCACCCCTCAGGCTCCTTAACCTCACCCCACAGGCTCCTTAACTTCACTCCTCAGGCTCCTTAACCTCACCCCTCAGGCCCCTTAAAGAGAAGAATGGATAGAAGATCGAGATATGGAGAAACTTTGCCGAGATAACTTAGTCTAGCAAGAGATAATTTTGTATTATTCAGAGGCTATCTTAGAAATTACAGTGATGATTTATTTGAAGTTTTATCTGGACACAGACTTGAGAAGGAACACATGAACATTAAACTGATGAACAGAAACAATAGACTTAATATGATGTGCTGGAACGCAAGGTGAATCGTGTCGAGTGTGCTTTACCTCAACATGTGGTTATCTGAGCATTGTATTGTGTGCCATAGCAGATCACCAACTTAGACAGTACAACTTGTCTTTTATGGATGTCCTTGATGAAACCTACTTCAATATTACCAGCCCAGCTCCAGAGCACCAACACCACACTAACAGTGCGTGTTGAAATGGAGGCACCGCCATACTGTGCCATAAAAGGCTCCAAAAGTATATATCCGATCTGACACTGGACTTTGATAGTGGTCGGATAACAGGGATAGAGCTCATCAACCAAGATTCTAGGTATACTTACTTGTTCTCGGTATACTTACCTCCCTCAAACAGATCACTAGTTGTGTTCCTGCAACAACTGCAGGACATTTATGAAGCATACGCTCTCAGAGGACAAGTTGTCCTCCTTGGTGATTTCAATGCAGGACTATGTGGACCAAGGTACTGCAAGAAACTTGAGTGGTAAAGCCCTCTGATGTGGTCAAGAAAAATAGTCTAGTAGCTGTCAATATGCGGAATGATTGTATAGGTCAAAGTTTTACTTTCCAAGCGTATGATGCTGGATAACATTCGATTATATTCTGATTTTCTGAGTTTGTGCAAGAAGGGAGATAATCCCTATAATATCTCTGATCATCACCCAGTAATATGCTCCTTGATTAAAGCATCATTGAAGAAGAAGACAGTCAACCTCACTTCTCCAAACCTTCGTAGGAAAAGGTCAAAAGGAATGGCACGCTAAAGGATTACACCAGTAGCGTCTCCAACCTGCTGCGGTCAGTCTCTCTTCCAAAGCAGGGGTGTAGTTCAGAAACTGTTGAAACATTTTATGGATAGTTCGCTGTGGTATCATATCATCAGATCAATGTGTTCCACAATCCAAATTATCTTAGCACTTAAAGCCGTATTGGTAAGGTGCAGTAAGAGAACATCACCACGCTATGATGGTGCGCAGAGATATATTGATTAAGGATGAACGTCCAAGGGGAATGGATCATGAGGAGTTACCAAGAGCCCTGTATGGATATGAATTGTGGTGTGGCTTAAGCAAAGCTGAACTGTTATCATTAGAGCGTGTCAAGAGAGCTGCATTAAAAATTGCACAAGGCCTCCCTCGAAGCACGCGGACGGATAGTTCTAATGCCCTAATTGGATGGACAGCCTTGGATATGTCTGTTTCCAGTGAACCTATGCAATAGCAGAATGACGCTCCTTCCGAAAAGAATCTTCAGTACTAGGCTCTCAAATTACTATTGCTCTACCACTTCCCTGGGTTATGTTCCTGACATTAAACGTATTATGGCTAAATATAATCTTGAGCAATTCCTGAGCAGCTTTAATACCCATGCCACATTCCCCAGCTGTCATACCTGGAAGAAAGTTGTGAAAGATGCCATTAAAGTCAATGTTCTTGGAGCCTGGAGAAGACGCATAAACTCTGATCCAGACCTAAAACACTTTAAACGAATTCATCCGGTTATCTCCCCCACAAAGCATGGGACATTCCTAAAAGACATCCAGAACTAAAACAAGCTGCAACCTTCGTGATCCAGTTGTGTGCAGTCTGGGGACCTGGGAAAGTCCAGGGTGCGTGTGGCATGTGCAAGCTTGCCCACCAGGACTTGCTCGTTCATGTTGTGTGTATATGTCCACAGACAGAGCAACTCAGAGACAATTTGTGGTGTAGCATAGTGGACACTATGACTCAAGTCCGCGTGGCTCTCCATAACAAGGAGGAAATTGAGTTAGTTTGATGTCTCCTAGCATGAAAGCCCCCAATTCCAGCAAATCAAGAGGAGCTAGAGAACTTTGCAAAAGCTGCAAAAGAAATATATTGACCTTGTAAGATAGACGTAACATAAGAATACTTGTTTACGTACACTTGGAAATAATGCATTAATACTCAGTAAATAGAATAGAAACTCAATACGGATATCATTGCTCATAAAAGCAAAATTAGCGGACCAAGAGGTGCAAAATGAAGAGGTTTAATGTGTTATGGTGTCAGTGACAAGTTTCACGGATCACAATGATCACAACAAGACATGCAAACCATTAGCATGGGTCAACACGTGATCGGCCAAGGTCGGGACGACCAAGAGGAACCAACCCCGCCCAAGATCGCTACATCTGACTGCGACACCTACGTGAGAGGACGACCTCAGCCACCTCAACGTGCGGAACGTCTACGGACTATTGTCATGCTGGGAACTGAAGTCAGCGTGCAGTGGCCAATACCTTCAATGTTTCACAGTCTGTGATTAGCAGACTATGGAACAGGTACCAACGTTTCAGGTCAATGACAAGAGTATAGGCTTTATCAATCCGAAACCAGGCTCAAACGGCGAATCAAATTTGCTGCAAAGTTTCGATCAGGCTACTGGAGCTACGGGTCTCGAATAGAAACCGCCTACATGCAGCTCATCTCCATGCTCGACGGCCACGTGCTGTGCCGCCCCTTACAAATCGTCATATTCCCACTAGTCGTCAATAGTGTACACAACGTCCAAACTTGGGTAATCGTCGCTCGTCACATGTCATGTTTTCAGATGAGTCCCGATTCACTTTGCACGTCTTTGATAGGCTTGGTCGTGTATGACTGATTTGGTGGTGTATCGTTTATGATGTGGGGTGGCATCACTATGACTAAGCGAACCATATTGTGCAAGGAAGGGTCACTGAACATTTACCATCAGGATAACATACTAACACCCTTTGTTGTGCCGTTTGCAGGGTTTGTTGGTCGACGTTTTGTCTTTCAGAACCACAACGCCCTGCTCACCGTACACGAATGGTTAATGTTCACCTCCAGCAGCACAACATCCCTAGAATGCCATGGCCAGCAATGTGCCCAGACCTTTCCCCAAATGAACATGCCTGGGACATGATGAGGAGTCATATGCGTCAACATCAAACGCCCCCGACAACATTGGCTGAACTTGGCCCGGCGCTACAAGAAGAGTTGACCAGACTCCCTCAAATTGCCATTGGGAGACTTATACGCAGCATGCCTCGCTATGAATGTTTGACAAATCGTGATATTTCCCATCCCATCCCTATCGCCCTTAATGTCTTGGCATCTACCACCTACTATCATACTTCAGTGCCGGTTGCTATATTATTTGTTCCCAATTCGTTCATTACATCATCAAACTAGTATTAATAGTAACTAATATCTCTTACAATGTTTAAAGGGTATATATTTGTGTGTCTGTGTTATCATACTAAAAACAAGGTGTATTAGTGCACTACGGGGTCATTAATATGCTAACGCCATTAAATCATTCTATTTATCATACTACTAGCGGACAAGATGGACAAAATTAAGTGAACAAATTAATATCTTACTGCCATATGGGATAAACTTTACTTAAGACTTTACAGATGACGTTGCACATTGGTCTGTAATGAATATATAATACACCTTCATGTGTATTTGGAACCTGGCCTCTGGTGTTTGGTGTCTGGTGTACTCTTAAGTGACATGTATGCTATTAGTTATACTCGATAATTGTTCCTTCCCTGACACGACCAGGCACATAATTACCCATATGTGATGGTACATTTGTGATATAAATGTTTACAGCCTATTCAAGTATGTTAATAAAAGCTTTACAAATATTAACCGGTATTTTAAAATTTTATGAATACAAACCAATTTCGGTGATGTTAGACGTGTCCATGTTATGACTGAGTGAGTAATTTGGGTTTAACACCGCTTTTAACAGTATTCCGGTTATATCGCGGCGTGTCAGCATAATGTGGGGGGAAAGCCCGAAGTGATGCAGATCTCAGACGTTTCCCACTTTGGTGAAACCCACGAGCACGGGTATGGTGCTGATCACCTAGAAACATGCTCACCTTTCCCGCTAACAACTGATATAATTTTTGTATAGGTTTTCAACACATAGCTATCGTACAAAGGGAACTGCTTTTAGTAGATATTTCTAATGATTATTGAAATTAACTGTGTGATTGGCATTCTAGAAGTAGGCAAGACAAGTTTAATTTACTGCACGTCATTTGAATCAGAGGCGTCAGTGGTTTAGGGAACGTCAGCACTCGGATAATCGACGTCGGGATAATGCCATGCTTCTGACGAATCGAGGTTCATTCTCGACTTCCATGGCCGAAGGCAGAGTCACAGGTCAATACTATCGGTACAACGTCATTGCACTACTCGTGGTGCCAAATGCATGACGCGGTTTATCTTTCACGATGATGTGGCACGTGCTCATCGTGCCAGGATTGTAACCCGATACCTCAAACAGCAAAACATCCATGTCATGCTAAGGTCAGCACTCAGTCCTGACCTTTCCCCAATGGAACACTCCTGGGACGTCATTGGCAGATGTGTACGCCAACGTCCAAATCCACCCACCATTCTCAAAGAACCCGGTGTTGCTCTCACATGAGTGAGTGAGTTGGGTTTAACGCCGCTTTTAACACTATTACAGTTATATCACGGCGTGTCAGCTTAATGTGAGAGAAAAGCCCGAAGTGATGGCGGTCTCGGACGTTTACCACTGCGGTAAGATACGATGATTCTCACTATCCCCTACTTTTTTTGCATCGTATATGATAAAGAAACAAAAGCAGAATCGACACACCAAACCATGTTAGCTACAATAACGTTAACAGGTTCCAACAGACGGAGACATCTGATTGGCTAAGGTTTCATTAATAATGACGAATGGCATGTGGCCGCTTCTCTGCTATTGAATACGACGTAGATTGCTCGTGTATACTTCACAGTTTGCATTTGTTTCACCTTGACGTGCTATGATATTGCACAAATGTTTCACCTGAACTTTAATTGATAATTTCACGATATCTCACCTGTCTCACATCATATTGCACACGTGTTTAACGTATACTGTACCTGGTATTGTATATGTGTTTTACTTGGAGTATACGTGGTATTGCACGTGCCTACTCGCGAACACCTGGTACCATCACTATTTGACAGTGGTTCATAAACACTTGCTTATGATTAGTCGGAATCGTAAAAGGGAAATTGGTGTTAGCAGAGATGTCTTATGACAAAGGAAAGGTTTTGTGTAGCTTTTATTTTCACCTTGACCATAACAGATGTTGCAAAAGTGTTTCACCTTTACGATATTATTATAGTTCACATGTGCGGTATATGGTCTTGTATCTCAGTTACATGTACCTGGTAGGATCTGATGGCAATGTGGATGTTAACATTCTAACTCCTAACAGGCAGCTTGGCTTGGGTTCCCCAGGGAGTGTATATTACGTATGGATTATCAATATCATGTCGTTTCTGTCCTGACACAATGTATATGCCCTGAATCCATTGGTCGGAAAAATAACGAACATCCCACAAAAACATGTATTGATACAACTCAAGTGAGTGAATACATTTTTCACTTGCGTTGCAGCAATACTTCCAACGAACGGTATCGCACACTGGACACATGTGGCAAATGCGAACTGGCTATTCCGAGTGATCAGGTGTTTGTTTAGTCTGTCTTACAGACCCTGATACAAATATATAAACTACAGCCCATGCAAGTCTATAATGTTTGGCAAGTCTAGATTACTGCAGTATCTGAAAATGAAGAGAATCACTGGGCTCCCTTTTTATTATATTTTTATTAAGATAACTGAACAAATGTTTTTTTCTGTACGATATGTTCATTTCAGAGACTATATGTTAGTCTAGTGTTTGTTCATCCACGCCTTAGTCGGCAATATTCCAGTTATATCACGTTGACCTGAAAATACTCGTGTCTGGATCAGCTGATGATACCTGGAGCAACATCCCACGTCATCGTAGCATGATGTCACAATGTTTCAGAGCCTACCAACCCGACCCTCTTACAACAAGCTACGGGAACCTATCAAGATTCGCCACTTCAACAAGGTGTGTCACGAGTCAACGCTGTAATCAAAGACTTAATCCTACCCTCACTCTCTGATTGATGACCGCCTCCGTGGTCTAATGGAAGAGCGTCCGCCCGGAGAGCGGAAGGTCCGGGGTTCGATCCCCGACCGCGTCATACCAAAAGACGTTGAAAGATGGTACTTGTTTTTACCCTGTCTGGCGCTCGGCATTAAGGGGCTAAAACAAGGACTGGTCGGCTCGGAGTCAGTATACTGTGTCTGAGTGGGGTATTCATGTTAAACTGCGGCATGGTATCTCAGTGAGCTAGCACTATAAATCGGCATCAGTCCGGACTAGTACAAGCAGCCACACAAACACAAACACGTACATGCACGTCGCTATATAAGTGCAATAATCTTGGACGCGACGTTAAACCCAATTTCACCTCACCTCACCTCTGATTGATAGTGTAGATATTACAGGAAGAACACTAAATCACAAATGTTTACATACATACTTTTATAACAAATTCAGGCAGAACCTTAATACTTCAAATACAAAATGAATTGAGTATGTTGGTGCAAGAAAAAAGCGTTTACGTCATAATAACATCCTTCCTTTTGACTTTGGAGTATGTCCCTCAGTGATGGTGGCCTGTAATGCGAAATCAATTGAGGATTATCCTAAGAACATAAGAAACATTTAAATAATCTCATGAACACATATCAGCTGAATTAAAGTTACTGACAACACATACGCTGTTAAAGTATTATCTAGCAGATAATTAGTACCGATAACATCGCAACAAAACTTCATGTAAAGAAACACGAAATAATTAATCGGACTATCATTTTCCAGATTAAGCTTTGTGTTGTGATGACAGTTCCTGTAAGTATTAACTACTCATCCTTTGTTTTTAAAATTGATATATTGAATCAGTACTGTACACACAGGTTGTCAAGCATAGCTGTGGTAAAACATTAATCAATGCGATACCGATTGTAAACTATTGAATAACATACCGTGATCCAAGTGGTGGCCAAGAGCTCGCTGATATACACCAGGCTTTGTCTGTACAAAACTGGTGCCGACATTTCCATGTCCATGGCTACCAAAAGAATGTTCAGGTCCATGGTCACCATGCCCACCATGTCCGCCAAATCCATGAGTAATTCTAGGTCCATGGTCACCATGCCCATGTCCGCCAAATCCAGGATTAATTCTAGGTCCATGATCACCATGCCCATGTCCGCCAAATCCAGGATTAATTCTAGGTCCATGATCACCATGCCCATGTCCGCCAAATCCAGGATTAATTCTAGGTCCATGATCACCATGCCCATGTCCGCCAAATCCAGGAGAAATTCTAGGTCCATGTCTGTCTATCCCATGTCCACCAAAACCAGAAGTAATCCCAGGTCCACGAGTACCAAATCCAGGTCCGCCAAATCCAGTAGCTATTCCGGGCCCGTGGTTACCAAAGCCATGTCCGCCAAAACCAGGAGCTATTCCAGGCCCTGGGTTACCAAACCCAGGTCCGCCAAAACCAGGAGCAATTCTAGGTCCATGGTTACCATGGCCATGTCCAATTCCACCATTAATTCCATTGCCTGTATACACATGGGGAACCTTTCTTGTGATGGTGTCGATATGGTCACCGTGTCGGACGTGGCTCACTTCCAGGTCGACGTGGTCAACACCAAAACCAGGGCTAACATATACAGGACCAGGACCAGCACCAGGACCATGGCCTGGGCCAGGACCATAGTTGAGTCCTCGAACATCGAATCTTCTGTTTGTGTATCTACCTCTATACATTTGGCACGTAGCCCCGACAACCATCAAGGCCATAATCACTGCAAGAGTCCTCATCTCACTTGTCTGCAGAATACATGGAATTTATAATTATTAAACACATTTTTTCAGACATAAATGATACTAAAACAATCCTCAAATATTAATATTAAATATGTTTTCAATACATGACAAATGTCAAGTGTTAGATATTCCTCGCCAAAGGAAACGGGAATACCATACATGTTGATATATGAAGAATTACTCATATTTAAGAGATATTAGATTGGTTCGATGCACAAACGAACATACTGGTATGTTGTGTGAACCGACACTCATGAACGCATCACATGTGACGTCATAGATCCATGACTCGAGATGCGCCATTTGTCTCGTGCAATATTAGAGTGTAAAGTTTGGAAATCACATGCAGCATATCGTGATAAGAATAGAGACACTGTGGTAACACTTGACTGATCGCTAGTTTTGTCATTAAGTGGTACACATTGGCTACATCTCTTCTTAACGTACATGTACATACTTCTCTATATGTTACTATTGTTAGCGTTTTATTTGGCGGTGAGTATATTTCCAAATGATTTATTTTCTGACGTCAGCTATCACAAACTTAGCCAGTGAGTTGAAATGATAAATTTCAAATCAAAACAAGTGAGTGTTGTCTATACAAAGAAATTAGCTTGAATAAACATTTAGCCATTTACCTATGTTGTGTCGCCAAAAGGCCAAAAATGTACCAAAACGGCAAACGTATATGGCCCCGAATTTCGTTATACAGAGCTGCACCCTACAGACATACCAGAAACCTACGATCGCCACGAATACCATATTCGACCTGATAGTCCTTCTAGGTTGATGAGCACCAATACTGTGCTCATCGGTTTCACGGAAACGGTGGGTTTCGTCAAGCTTATGCGTCAATATATAACTGAAAAACTGTTCAAATGGGCGAAGAATCAAACCAACTCACTGCACGTACTACATGCGCTATGATGAATGTGGAGGCAAAACTTACCCTTTCAGTGGAGATTTACTATGAATCCTCTGTACCCGGCAGGTGGTACTTATATATAAACAGTTAAGATGAGTAGGCGTGTTGCACCGTAAATAAAACGTCATTGTCCATAACGATATTCCTGGGGTCAAATACATGACAGAGGACACTACTGGCCCTGTCCACATATTACCCGAGGGTAGTGATACAGTATGTATTGCTAATCTCGTTATTTATGTATAATTGCGCCCGTGTCATCTGTCAATACGATACGGTCAATGTGACAATAAAACTGAGTAAACATATGGTCATGCCATGTCTATATTTGTTTGAGGTCAAGTTGGCATGCAGAGTTGAATCATGGATTTTGTTTTGAAAGAATTCGCAAATTATAAGGATTTTTTAAATAAGTTATTATTATTATTATTATTATTATTATTATTATTATTATTATTATGTTCACTACAAAATCACTACTTGTCTTTCTATTGTGTGATGTTTACATAAATTAAATTTTGTGTTTTACGCAAATTAGTCAGTCTCTATACATTTGCTATTATGTCTTGCTAACGTATTCTTATGCTGTATATGTGTAACCTAATGGAATCGATAAGGCTAAAATGGAATACATATTTAATTTCTTAGAGATTCCATCGGAAATACACATTTCGTTGTTTATCTTTACCTTCCTCAAGATTTATGAAACAGTAGACTTTGGTAAATTGTGACAATTCAGGACGATTTTTAAGTACTTATTTTATCTTAGTTGAAGAGTGCATTGTCATATATTTCCACAGTTTGCGACTCATTCATCAACACATTACCAATTACATAAGTTATATTTCTAAATCAACTGCAGTGTTGACATTTTGATGACTCATTGCTAGCTTAATGACCGAAATTATGTCCGTTGCAATCGCATATTTTGGAGTAGCCTGGTGATGTAAGCGTTCGCCTGTTACGCCGATAGCCCGGGTTCGGTTCCCCTCAAGGGTACAATGTGTAAAGACAATTTCTTGTGTCCCCCGTTTGAAGGAATATTGCTAAAAGCGGCGTAAAAACATCCTCACTCAATCCCCTATTTTGACTTGTGCCGCATGGTCCCATGTTTGATCGGGTGAACACTTTCCTTGCCTTTGCATGTGTTTGTGACTGACGCCGGTGGAGCAGTACGTTCACTTTCTTCTAACCTCTGGTATCTGAAATCATACAACTGACTCTTAGCAGAGACTGCTTATAATCCCTGAAATGGTATTTTCTGCCCGTAGGGTGGAAGATCAATAGAAACGCCAAAAGAAACGCAAAATGTAGAAACATATGGAAAAGTATGTACGTTAAGAAGAGATGTTTCCAAAGTGGACCAATTAATGAGATAACTAACAATCAGTCAAGTGTAACCACAGAGTGTCTTTATTCTTATCACGATATGATGCACGTGATTTCCAAAATTTAAATGCACATCCTGCGCGAGACAAATGGTGCATCTCGAGTCACGGATCTATGACGTCACATGTGATGCGTTCATGAGTGTCGGTTCACACAACATACATGTACCAGTATGTTCGTTTGTGCATCGAACCAATCTAATATCTCTTGAATATGCGTAATTCTTCATATATTAACCATCATGTAGAGTATTGGCGTTTCTTTTGGCGATGAGTATATATATAGCCACTGAGGACAATTAATAGAACAAAGATGATACTTGATTTGATAATGGTTGTGATATGAAATGAAAAAAAACCAAATGCCCCCAAATATAAAATTGATATTTTAGCTGACCGCAATATACAAAAAACTCTGACGAGGATCAAGGATGCATTAGAGTCATAAACTCACTCGATGCACCCGATCATAGCCTGGACAAACGGTCGGCTTTGACAGTTGACGCATAAAAGACCTTGACACATGACATCAAGAATTTCTTTTGTAACCTCATACTTCCGTTACAGGCAGGTGACAGGCAGTTGTACGATTGCGGTTAAAAGGTGTCACTACGTATTGAAGCTATCTCCAATCAGCTGATTGATATATCGTGTGTTTTATGTTTACATATTAATCTAACTTGGAAAAAGGTTGTGGGTATGAGAGGTGAGGTGAAATAAGGTCTAACGTCGCGTCCAAAATTATTGCACTTACATGTATATGTGTACGTGCACATGTGGATGGCTGCTTGTACTAGTTCGAACTAATGCCGATTTTATAGTGCTAGCTCACTGAGATACCATGCCGCAGTTTAACATGAATACCCCACTCATACACAGTATACTGACTCCCAGCCGACCAGTCCTTGTTTTAACCCTTTCATGCCGAAAGCCGCTCTGTCAACTAGACCACTTGACAGACATGAAACAAAGAACACGTTGGTTAAAAATAATGTTTATTTGGATAGACTTTTAATTTGGTTACAGTTAGTACGACAACATTTGGTCGTATTTCATGAAACGTGTAGGTTACATTTAGCTCATTTGGATTTGTTCTCATAAATTATGTAACATAGAAACTTTCAAAACGCTGTATGGGAGACACGTGGAAGACATTTCTATATTTGACGCATCACTGAAAAAAGTGATGTCTTATGCAATTCTTTATTTGGACTTGTTCCATGTGTTTCCGTTCGTGGTCAGGTGAACACTTGCCTTGCCTTGCCTTGTGTTTGTGCCTTGCCTTTTAACATATTAATAGGTTGCTGCTTCCCGATGTATTTAGACTTGAAGGTAATTAATGTGGATTTAGTTATCCAAACTTAATGAAATGAATATAAAATGTCAACCCCAGAGAAAAGTCAGTCTCTTTTATCCACCGAAACATATTTCTTTGGGCTTATAGGTTAAAGAGCGATGAAAAGTATGTGAATGGATCATTGGGAATCAGAGTGACGACACCAATGAAAGCCTCTTTAACTAGACATCTTCCAGGGTATCAAGTCATTAGTGCGATGTAATGTCAGGCTGTACACAGATGATCGACTCAAAAGTAATCGTATAGTATCTGGGGTTGATAAATGAGGGCCGGATTAATGTACTGTTTCACTGGTATTGGCTCAAGTACCCAATGCAACGAAGGTTAGTTCTTCCAGTAATGCTCGCGTGGGATTCTGAGTTAGAATTGGTCCCCAGCAACCACTTTATAAGAGGCTACCAAATGGATGGAGTGATCAGACTCGGTGACTTGGTTGATATCACCCTATCATACCCAACTGCGTTGAGGGTTTTCACGGTATTAATCACTGGATTGTGTTGTCCAGACTCGATTATTTTCAGGCCGCCGTCAAATAGTTGGAATATTGTTGAGACTGGCGTTAACCAATAAACAAACACTCAGTGATGTCCTCTATAATTCACTGTAACCCCGCTATTGCTACGATTGTCCAATGGGGTTTACTATGAAAATAAAAGTATTTATTTACATGATTTCTTTATTGATATTCTGATCACCAGCCTTGTATTACCGCTTCGCCTTCCAGCCGATGTAAAACGATTTATTGTTTATTTTGACTGATAAGCTTCCATAGCCTAAGGGGTGTAGTAATATGGACTTGCGTCGACGCCCATGTCAAAGTACCTCATCATCAATTGTTTGACAGGCATTACTTAGAAGTTGACGGATGACAAGATAGACACAAATTTATGGATACAACTTCTTTAACTCTGTAAAAAGCGACGTAAGTCTTGCTTGACAACGGTATAATGAGTGAGTGAGTGAATATGGTTTTACGCCGCTTTTAGCAATATTCCAGCAATATCACGGCGGGGGACACCAGAAATGGGCTTCACACATTGTACCCATGTCGGGAATCGAACCCGGGTCTTCGGCGTGACGAGCGAACGCTTTAACCACTAGGCTACCCGACCGCCCCGACAACGATATAAGGATCTATACCGAACCATCGCTTTTTACAGTATTAAAGGAGTTGTTATTCATGAAATTGTGTCTACCTTACCTCATCATCAGACAGTTAAAAGGGGTCTATTACTTTCTTACTCATATGCGGTTTTCTGTTTAGGAGTCAATGACATTTATTGTGAAAATGAAACCTACAAAACGCGTACGTTCAATACATAGATTACGGTCCTGGATATAACACACACTTCCCCATTCGTGAAAGGATTACTATCGGTTTTCATTATTATTAAAAATGACCCGTGAAGATTCCGGGGTAGAATAGGTCTTCAGCAACGCATGCTTGCCGTAAAAGGTGACTATGCTTGTCGTAAAAGGCGACTAACGGGATCGGGTGGTCAGGCTCGCTGACTTGGTTGATACATGTCATCGCTCACAATTGCATGGATCGATGCTCATGATATTAATCACTGGATTGTCTGGTCCAGACTCGATTATTTACAGACCGCCGTCATATAGCTGGAATATTGCTGAGTGCGGCGTTAAACAACAAACCAACCAACCAACCATTATTATTAATCTTCCATGTCTCCGTGATGGAGTACGACGTAACATAGCCTTCGGTGCGGATACACATCAAAGTCAATGATAGACATACCGTTCACGTTGTGATTAACGAACACCAATACAGATAGTTGATGTTACTATACATGTTGATGGCCCTATTATGAGGTATCGTGTCTTTGTTAAGGAAAACAGTTATTTTAACGAAGTGCTACCAAATCACAAAATAACGTACTGGATAAATCACAAATATCCCCGTTCACAAACGGATAAACTATTCGTCTTGATGTTAGAAAATGTTATTGTAAATCCACATGATTTCTTCTAGAAGATAACATTCGCTTGCCTTTGATTCAGGCGTAGCGGTAGACTAACATTTAGTCTCTGAAATCTTATGTTACACAATATCCTTCTTGACTCTAAAAATAAAATAAAATTCCCTATGCTGATGTGGAATAGAGCTAGCTTGAGCTGGCTAGACTTGCTTTTGTATGCATTTCTAGATTATTATTTTTTTCTCATAAAATAAATATATTCCACGGTCATGGTGCAGGACTAGCGAAGCGGGTTCGAATCCCGCTGCCTACACACATTTTTCATGAAACACTCCTATTAGCAAGGTAAATTAAAGGAAGAAAGTGCCAAGTGGTGGATAACCAACACTGTAGTTAGTTAATGTAGGGATGCAATCCGACGGTGGAGGCAGTTGTTGAGTTGAACTACATGTACTGCTATAAGTGCATGTACAGTATATGGTGTTACGAAGCCATCAAGTTATAACGACGAGGGTAACCAAACGTCGGTACGCTCAGAACTATATTGTGAAATCAGTAAATGACCACACAAGATTAATGTTGGTTGGTTTGTTGTTTAACGCCGCACCCAGCAATATTCCAGCTGTATGGCGGCGGTCTGTAAATAATCGAGTCTGGACCAGACAATCCAGTGATTAATATCATGAGCATCGATCCACGCAACTGGGATATGATAACATGCATCAACTTAGTCAGCGAGCCTGACCACCCTACCCCGTTAGTCGCCTCTTACGACAAGCATAGTCGTCTTTTGCGGCAAGCATGGGTTGATGAAGACCTATTCTACCCGGAACCTAAATGAATAATTCAATATGTTATGTTTATACATATGTATTTGCTTTCTATGAAAAAATACAATACAATGGGCTGGAAGCTGGTAGGAATTCGGTACTCCTAAATATATATCAAAACTCTTGACAAGTTACTTGACTTGACAAGTAAATCAGAAGCACGTCAGTTCGAAAATGTCTTAATCGCCTCCGTGGTCTAGTGGATAGAGCGTCTTCCCGGAGAGTGGTAAGTTGCGGGTTCGATTCCAGGCTGCGTCATACCAAAAGACGTTAAAACATGGTACTTGTTACCCTGCCTGGCGCTCGGCATGAAGGGGCTTAAACAAGGTCGGCTCGGAGCCAGTATACTGTGTCTGAGTGGAGTATTGATGCTAAACTACGGTATGGAATCTCAGTGAGCAGGTACTATAAATCGGCATCAGTCCGGGCTAGTACAGGCAGCCACACACGCACGCACACACACACACACACACACACACACACACACACACACACACACACACACACACACACACACACACACACACACACACACACACACACACACACACACGTGCATGCACGTCACTAGCTCAGTTAAACCGAAATGAAACCTTTAAACTGTCCTGTTTCATTACATTAACCTGACTGCGAATCACGAAATGGTAGTACCAGACGCCATCTTGTTTTCTAGCAGGCGAGTCAATATTTATCACGTGACAGGTCAATTCTGTTCATGTGACGAGTCAATATTCGAGGTCCATGTCAGTCACGTGATTCGGGGGTCTGAATTTAAATGTATAGTTTCGTCACGTGTTACGGATTAACCAATGAATTAGAAAGATTCTTAATACAGGTTGAACCATTTAATGTAACATTTTTCGGAATACATATCATGACCATTGTACGATATTTCTTAGAACAAATATCCAATAAGAAGGAGAATATATGGATGTCAAGTTCTTTAATATGAGGAACACAACGTTTCGGAGTATATGCTTACTCCTTCATCAGGTGAAGGAGTAAGCATATACTCCGAAACGTTTTGTTCCTCATAATAAAGAAGTTGACATCCATATATTCGCTTCCTTACTTTTAACAGCTTCATCACTTTGCTCAGCGACGTTAAACAAAAATCACTCGTTAACTACTTTCAAACATTGTATTTATATGACAAGCAAACTCCACTGTGTGTATGCAATAAGAAATAAAACAACAAGACTTCTTATAAACTACCATCGATTTATTACCATTGTCATACAGCGAGTGAAAAGAAGACATGGCTGCTTCATAAACCTTTTCATCGTGACCTCGGGTTTGTGTTCGGACGTCATTGCTGGTTGCCTGCAATGCATAATCAATGAAATAATGAGCAGAAAAAAGATAATTTCGTATACCTTCTAAAAAACATTGAATTATGTTGTATAAATAAAAATGAGCTCTTTACCATCGAATTCAAATATTAAACAAAAATGCAGACAGAATTTATTGACATTTTATAGATTAAGCAAGTTACACGTTCCGTTTTACTTCTGGAAACCGACCCCCTCGCTATGACACTCGATAATCAGTTTTCAAAATGTAACATGGTGTTTTCATCGGATCATGGAAATCCAATAAATTATTTTAACCTATTGTTCCCATTGGTCCTGTACAAATGAAGTTTGCAGAATAAGAACAGGATGTGTTTTATGTTGCGTAATACAAGTTGAAAAGTATTAAAATATCTTTACCAAATGTATAGAAAGTCAAATAAGGCTGTGTCCAAACTGGTCAAATGTGTTTTCGGTAGTAACCAACTGAACACTACACCTGATTGACGATACTTTGGAGCTTATATTTAGAAGACTAATTAACGTACCATGTGGGGCGTGTCCGACAATTCAATATCCGTGTCCACCAAAGTGGCCACCATGATGGTGTACTGAGATGCTGCCGCCCCCATATCCATGGCCATGACCGCCATATCCATGTCCAAATCCACCATGCATTCCATTGCCTGCGTACACATGTGGAACATGTCTGGTGATGGTGTCGATATGGTTGCCATGGGGGACGTGGTGTACCTCAACGTCGACGTGGTTAGCACCAAAACCAGGGCTAATGCGGGCGTGACCAGATCCACGACCATAGCCATAGCCATGACCAATGCCATGACCAGATCCACGACCATAGCCATAGCCATGACCAATGCCATGACCAGATCCACGACCATAGCCATAGCCATGACCAATGCCATGACCAAATCCAGGACCATAGCCATAGCCATGACCAAAGCCATGACCAAATCCAGGACCATAGCCGCCTCCATATAACTTGCATGTCGCCCCGACAACCATGACTGCTAGAATAACGACAGTAGTCCTCATCTTATGTCCCTGAAATCAAACAGATTTGGAATAATTTAATACGTTAAAAAACATACATGAAAAAGGTCTTCAAATGTGTTTTTGCCCACATACATGTACAGCTGACACACCGTCATGTAGCTGAAGTACTGTTGTAAGCGACTTTCACTCACTCAAGAAAGTGGCAATCGTTTATGACGCGCATCGCTTATATCGTAACTGCACTACCAAACTATCAGAGTGTAACTTACCTGTTTACAAAGTCAAGCCTTGGAATGCCTCAACTGCATGTCTTAGGGGAACTTATATATCCATCAGTTTAAGTAAGCAGCCGTATTGCACAAGTAACTATGACGTCATTGTCCATGGTGACATTACTCCCTGAGGTCAAATACAAGCTTAAGGCAGTGGACACTACTGACCATGTTGACAGATAACCTTGGGCTAGCTAGTACAATGATATATTGCTAATTATTACGTTTGCCACTGCTACCTAGTGTCATCTGTCAATAAGGTAGAACTTTTTGTAACTATGTTTTTGCTTTCGTGAGACAAAGAAAATTGTAACACACACATAGACACACACACACACACACGCACGTGCACGTCGCTATATAAGTGCAATAATCTTGGACGCAACGTTAAACCCCATTTCACTTCTCCTCAACTTTCGTTTTGGCGTCCAAAGCAATGCTATTCGGCAGATGGGCGGTCGGGTAGCCTAGTGGTTAAAGCGTTCGCTCGTCACGCCGAAGACCCGGGTTCGATTCCCGACATGGGTACAATGTGTGAAGCCCATTTCTGGTGTCCCCCGCCGTGATATTGCTGGAATATTGCTAAAAGCGGCATGAAACCAAACTTACTCACTATTCGGCAGACAATCGAGACAGAATATTCTTTGGCGTTGGCGTTTTGTTATATAGAGATCGATGTTTTGCTACTGATAACTATGTGGTTCATGCCTATTTACTCATTTCTCTGAATTAGATCTGAATTGACCATACATAGAAGTAATTTTACAATAAAAGAGAGGAATATTTTTTTTTAGGTGCCAGTTTAGAGCATTGTACATTTGGATGTTCTAGCCATAAATTCTTTACTGAACGAGTGAACTACAGTAAACTACGGTTGTAACGAACTCAAAGGGACTACTTATTTTATTTCGTTATAATAGTAGTTCGTTATAAGCAAATATACAGCATAACTACAGCAAATAGTCGGGACCAAAAAGTAAGTTCGTTATATCCGTCAGTTCGTTATAAGCGTGTTCGTTTTAACCGTAGTCTACTGTTTTCGCAACGAAGTACTCTATGTCCAGTTTAACTGATTAACTCTGCGTTTGTATGGTTTGTCCTTCCAATTGAAGTTTAAGAAATAACATTGTCCCGACGTATTGTATTCCCATGCTAATAGTTATTGCCACTCGCTTGATATCTGCGTCTTAGCATAAGGATGACAATAATTATTCAATATAACTACAGACAGTTGTTGTCTAGCAAACCTTATATAATCAACTATTTAATCAAATATATTTTCTTTTCAATGATAAAGACGTCGCTTTTATATCGTGTATTGTGTACGTTGTTTGATGCATTTTGTTTCTGTCACCCTTTTTTTAGAAATCAACACAATTTCACAGTATTGCTTTATTGACCCAAGGTTATTCGGATATCACATTCGTAGCTGATGTAAGTTTGGGTTGCAACACAAATATATTTGATTGTATTAGATTTTATGTGGCTTCAAGCAGTCTTCAGTCGTCCAATTGGTGTCGTGGTACGGAAGTAACCCGTTTGCTGATAATTAATTACCTTTGATGGTAGATGATGATTGGCTTCCAGAAAACATTTTACTTTTATGTGCCATGTATATGGGAAATAAGAAAGGTTTCTCTTAATGAAATTTGAAATATCAAGAAAGCTACACCTCGTAACTTTTTTATCCTAGACATGAATGTATGGATGGTGATCGCTACTGCTGACAGTGAGAAAAGCTCTTGTTTGTACACTAGTGAATGTGCATATGTATGCGTGTGCGTATGCATATGTATATGCGTATGTGTATGCGTATGCGTATATGTATTATGCCTATGTGCATGTGCATGTGCATGTGTATATGTATGCGTGCGTGTTTGTGTATGTGTATGTGTATGTGTATGTGTTTGTGTATGTGTATGTGTGTTTGTGTTTGTGTATGTTTATGTAATGCCTCGAGTTCACTAACTTTTAACTGCTGATACCTATACATGATACAAACTACTCAATCATACGGATCTGAAACAAATATATCCAATACAGCCAATGCAAGTCTAAAATATTTGGCAAGTCTAGATTACGGCTGTATCAGAAACTGAAAATGAAATAAGTCTCTTGGCTGCTGTTGATTATATTTTATAACTATAATTTAACAACTGTATTGTTTGTAAAATATGATTATTTCAGAGACCACATGTTAGTCGGTGCAAACATGAAAACGGTCATTGAGCAAGGTACTGAAGATGCTGCTGTCCAACACCAACAAGGTGCATTTGACTTCACACAAAAGGGGTGTTTAGAACTTAATGGATGCTCGAATGGCTGCCACAGCCCCGATACCTGCGCTTGATGGGGCTACAGAAGAAAGTGAATAATTAAGATAAAATGGAAAAGTCATGATGTCGGTATTGAAAAATAGATGGACCCAAAGTCTTTGTAGTTTCATATAATATCACCATAATATCATATCACTTCAACGCACGAGATAATGTAACTCGAATGTTTAATGGACCGTTTAAAGGATTCCAATAGGTGTACAAGGAAATATAGTGGTGAAAAGTAAGTGAATGGATCAGTGATGATACAAGGTGTTCATGCAAAGTGAACGCATGTCCTGCTCTACTGGTAGCACGCGATACTTAACTACCACAATTTAAATTAGCATATCTTGCAGTAGATTGGTCGATATATCGAAAAATAACATTTATAGCGCACCTGGTACGAAGTTCCGCGGTGAGATTATGTCAGCTCCACCAGAAGATCGAATGGTCGGTCCCTAACTGACATGAAATATTCTACAGGTCGCATGCCCAATGTCCCTTTTTCGCTGTTTTCAATCAACAATGGTCTTACTACAGGACATGCTTCATATCCGAAAAATATATGCTTTTTATTGACGGAATGTAATAAAAAAGTATCTTTTCATGGCTATTTTTGAGTCGACATGGTCTGTTTCTTTACGCATTTGAATCGGAATTTATGCTGGGATTGGCAAAATCAAAACAAGGTAATTTGGCCCAAAAGGGAATAATTTAAGTTTCAGGTATATCGATGATCAGTTGTCGTTTCATAATGGTCAAATAACCCATTCCGTTCCACTGATTTACCAACCTTAACTAGAAATAAGAGAGACCAGGAAAAAACTCTCTACACGACTCTATGACAAGTGATATGACTTCAGGATTCTTACAGTCAACTTTCCCTTTCTGTCGAACAAAAGTTCATCGGCTCCAGCCTTTGTTGTCTATATTTCACAACTTGTAAGGTACAATCGAACATGCGCTTTCTATCAACATGTCAAAGTGCGTCATGCGACTCATGCTCAATCGTTGTTTGATCAAGGTTACAACATTTAAGGTCTCTGTAAAGCTTTCAAAATGTTTTAGGGTATACATGTTGAGGACATCAGGGACATAAATGATATCCGATGCTATTCCCTACTTTGACTTGTGCCATATGGAGCAGTGTTTTGTCAGGTGAACATTTGACTTGCCTTTGCTTGTATTTGAAACGAGCGCCGCCGATGCGTACTCTCATCTTTCGCGAACACCCGTTATCATCACTATTTGAAAGTGCTTCATAAACACATATGATATACCGTATTCGACGTAATAAGCGCCCAGGGCGCTCTCAAAATTAGAAATAGGGGGCTATCATTAGAATACTATTTTTGTTGAAAGATCAATTTCGTGGTTTATGCTGACAGTCTAAAATTTGTTCATATACGACAGATATATTTTTCCAGAATTTAACTGCCCATAATTAAGGGTGCATATAACACACAAGTGCGTATTATACGCGAATAAATAAGTCTTGTGTACATTAATCAATCGGAAGGGGTGCTAATTGGGATTGTTCACTAGCCAATATATTAGCAAATATCGCCGTGGGCGCTTATTAGAGCGGGGCGCTTATTACGTCGAATACGGTAGTCGGAATCATACAAAAGGTATTTTCTTCAGGCACCAAACAAACCCTTTTGTATGAAAAAAATGTGTTGGAAAGAGGGAAAAATAGCAACTACATCAAGAGAAAGTTCATTACGTTAAGAAAGACGTCGCAACGAAAGAGAAAAACACGCGTCCAGGGAATATGGAAACGGAAATTGCACTATTTTGTTAATACCACTGTGTTTTCACTTTAATGCCAAACACGCATCAGTCAGTTTGTCCCTGTTAGCATTTGGGGTCAGGGTAGATAATTAATACCTCATGATTGCTAGAGAGCCGTCTAAATGGAGATTGGGTGGTCAGTCTCTGTGTCTTGACTGAGTGTGTGCCAGTGTGCTGAGGGTGGCATGGCGCGTTGCTTTTGCTTTCAAATATATACTCACCGCCAAAAGAAACGCGAACCGTCGAAACTAATAGAGAAGTATGTACGTTTAGCAGAGATGTTTCCAATGTGTACCACTTAATGACAAAACTAGCAATCAGTCAAGTGTACCACAGCGTGTATTTATTCTTATCACGATATGCTGCATGTGATTTCAAATGGTGCATCTCGAGTCATGGTTCTGTGACGTCACATGTGATGCTTTCATGAGCATCGGTTCAGACAACATACCAGTATGTTCGTTTGAGTATCGATCCAATCTAATATCTCTTGAATATGAGTAAGTCTTCACATATTAAACAACAGCGGTTTTTTTGGTGATACGTATATATAAAACGTCACCCAAGGGAATAATCAGTCTCGATTATCTAAGGAAACAGGTTCCACTGGGCGAAATAGCGGTTACAAAAATATGAATCTATTTGCCTGTTCCAGATTCGAATATTTACGGAAATCTGGAATATTGCATCTGCATCGGTAAACAACGTTCACTCACTCACCAATCATCTTTGGAGTACATACACTGAACAAATGGATCCCATTATGTTACATGACCTCCGGGGTAGAATAGGTCTTAAGCAAACCATGCTTGCCGTAAAGGGCGACTAAGGGGATCGGGTGGTCAGGCTGGCTGACTTGGTTGATATCATCGAATCCCAAATGCGTGGATCGATGCTCATGATTTCAATCACTGGATTG